CTGTCTGTCTGTCCCTCGGTGTCACACTGCTCCTGTCTGTCTGTCCCTCAGTGTCACACTGCTCCTGTCTGTCTGTCCCCCAGTGTCACAGCTCAGGCAGCTCAGCCCCGTGTCCCAGGGCACAGTGGTGATGGCTCTCCAGGACCCGGCCATGCCGTGGGCCGGTGTCCTTCTGTCAGCCGTGTTTTTTAAAGATTATTTATACAGTTTTTCAAGAACYGAGTGTGAGTCCAATACCCAATACCAGAGCTCGTTTGGAGGCCAGGTGCATGTGACACACTCTTTTATAAAGGTTGTTATAGCTCAGTTATTATATTTAAAGGTGTGTACAAAGAGTGAACCTCTGGCCATAGAGCCGTGCATGTACCTCCAGGAATGGCCTGCAGTTCCTGCCTGCTCCTTGCTTGGAATAAACTTGGTTGGAAACCACGAAATGGTGCAAGTGGTTGATCCATCCGAGTCTGTTTGGTTGTTTTTCTGTGTGAGGTTTGYCAATCCTGACTTGCAGGTTGCTGTGCTCCCCTGGGACAGGGGAGAGGTTCATCATGCTCTGTGTGGGTGCAGGGCACAATCCCCGGTTTGTGGGTGCCCCCAGCTCCAGGAGCAGGGCTGTCTATGCTGGTTCTGATGCCAGTGCAAGGTCCTGACTGTGACGTGTCCGTGAGACACCCCCGGGTGCTGCTGAGCTTTGGGCTCCATCTCTGAATCAGGAGTGACAAAGGGAGCAGGGGCTGGGGCAGCACAGATCTGATTTGGGATGGCAGCTGCAGCCACATGTATGGCAGCTCCAGATGCACAAATCCATAAATTAGGAATGAGCCCGCAAATGTAAACCAGGGAGGGATTTAATTTTTTGTTGGGCTTTTTTTCCTTTGATTATCTGATATGACCTACATTTCACAGCTTAATGCTGCAGTAATTTCTGTGTCAAGCATATGGGAATGCACTTGTTCAGCTGTTTTGTATTTAATTTTAACTCATTTTAATTTGTTGATTTTCTGATTCTCCCTGCAWTTGCACCAGGACAGCATCTAGTGGMAGGTGTCCCTGCCAYGGCAGAGGGCAGAATGAGATGAGCTTTAARTTCCTTCCAAYCTAAACTATCTATGATCCTATGATCTCTCTTCTTTCTGAACAGAGTTTAGATTACAGCAGTGGGAACACCATGAGAAATGGGAAATAGAGGTTACAGACTGCTGGCAGTGAGCTCCCCACGAGCCCAACATCCATGTAGTGACAGGGACACCCCAACACCCTCAGCTTGGAAATATTTAGCAAAGAAATTTCTGAGGTCTCTGTCCTGTGGATGTCCCTTTTTCCACAGTTGGYCTGATTTGTACTTCACCTCCCAGGCTGGTGAGGACCCAGCAGCAGAGACCCCATTCCCTCTCCTACATTGCTCAGTTTAGTCCCCCCACCCTGTGCTCCAATCCTGCCAGCCCTGCCCTTACAGAGGGTGGGTTTGCATTATTCCCTGTCAGGGA